AAAGAGGCATGGTGGAAGCTGCGACAGTGGCGATTATGGTGTGGGGCATTGGTGGGGGGGGGTGGTAGGGGGTGACATGGCGGGGGTAGCAGAGGATGCTGAGGTAGTGGCAGCTAAGGTAGGGAGGGAAAGGGGAGAGGGTTAGGGGGTGGGTGGCTGCCTATCGGTCCACTGATCAGCTGATTGACGGACTGGTAGGCAGAATGGGATAGCCATAGGAAGAGACGGAAGGCTAGCATTCCCTCTCTTCATATGGGAGATGAATAAAAATGGAGCAATATTCATCCCTTTGTATTCATCAGGGTCTCTGGAACCCACAAATATGAAGGGGTGAATATTTAACAAATCAGCAATCTCTGATGAATATCGGGATCTGTTTTTTTATTCATCCCAAGGCCTATTTCCATACTATTCACCCTTTTCTTAATTTGGCTCCCCTTTTGTCTTTCCCACTATCTCCCATTAACTGTAAGAGCACAAGGACAGTAAGCAATCTTCTGAACTATCAGATCTTAGAGGAAGATGAAATTCTAATATTGCGTTTAAATTATTATCTGTGTTCTTTGAGATTTGGTCCTCCAAAGCTCCTTCTTTTTTTAAGGTTCTTTACTGGGCAAGATGATTTTATCCTTACTGGCTAGCAAGTGAATGAGTAAATTGACTCTTATTAACAAGCATTGTGTTTCAGGCAACATAAGATGACTCTTTTTGTTTATGGCTCATTTATACACCGGCCCAAATCCTATTCATTACATGGAAGGTAACAATATAAAAGTGGCAGGCAGCATAGTCAAGGGCCGTCTTATTTCCAAACGATGGGCTGTCATCCAGGATTCTAAGGTTCAAGCTGTGAATTCAAGCCAGTAAATGATTCACCTTGTCAAACAGGGAGCAACAGGGGAAAAAGCATAGTCCTCAGTCAGTCTGGGTTGTAGGGAGTTCCCAGGAGATGAGGCAGGCAGAAATAGTGTTGGATCCGGATCACTTGAAACTGCTGTCTTCAGTGATCAGGCCAAACTGTGAGTGCAAAAAACTATAGCTCTCAGCATGCCTCTCCCAGCCATTCAGCTATTTCCAGTTAGTTATCAGGTGCCCATTTGAAATGCCTCTGCTCTGAAGGCTGAGCCAGTGTTGTTCCTTTAGGCATATCCCCAGCATGTCTCGTAGGCTCCTTTCATCTTCTGAGTACACCCTTGCAGGAATGACCTCTGCCCTTCTCTCTTGAGCTTCTGAGAGACTGCTGCCAGCTAGGCCATTGAATTCCTGTTCTGCCCTGGCAGATCATCTTCCTCTTACAGAGACTACTTAGCTGAGGGAGATACGGCGCATGGGCATTTCCTATTGCACAGAAATTGTGGGACTCAGTGTGCAGTAGAAAATGCCTCCACTGACCTCTTGTGGCAATTTGCCACAGAAAGTTTCGTGAATAGCTCTACGCCAACGGGTGCAACAAATAGGAATTCTGGGCAATGTTTTATTGTTGAGTAATAAAAATCCATGTGAGAATGAACATAATGTAACATAATGCACATAATGTTACATAATGAATGTATCAGTGTTTCATATAAATTAGGTGCGTGTTTTTTGTTTTGTTTTGTTTTTTTTAAATCAAGTATCTTATAACCAGGGCCAGTATTCTTCTGAGCTGCCGTTGGGCAGAGTCTGGCTGGTGTAGTAAGATAGGGTCATGCCACTTGCACAAGGGTTGCCATTGTGCAAATCCTGATCCCCATGAAGGAAATCTCTCTGTGGTTTGACAATGGCAGTACCTGTAGATGAGGCACGATCCTGCATGCTAGTGGGACTTTCCACTCAGCAGAAGCTCGATAAGAAACTTGTCAGTATGTCCCTGGGTTGGACCCAGTGCTAATCATGCTCAGAGTAGACCCACTGAAATTAGAGAGATATAAATTAGTCATGACTGTATTAAATCCTGGCAGTTTAAATTGTTGTACCCTGGTACCTGGCTGTGAAGCTAGAAGTTAGAGGTGGTTCTACTCACCACTGTGGACAACCAGCCTATATAGCCTTGGGCAAGCTGCAGAGTTCCAGTTTGCCCCCAGAAGAAGGAAAAGATAAACTTCTGAGTATTCTATTCCTATCTATAATATCCTGACAAGAGTCACCATAAGCTGGAATCAATTTGAGAGGACATAATTATTATATATGACTAAGTCTGGTTCTAGTGCCATGTACTATACTATACAGTACTGCAAACCAGCAATGACGATGCATTCTTTGTTCTTTCTAACAGTTAAGAGTTTCATGTCTATGCTTCTCTACAGGAAAAGTTGTGTATGGGGAGCCTATAGCAGCTGGTCTTGGCACAGATGGCACAAACTACTGGCATAAGGAATGGCCCCATGCTGCAGCACATGTCATGGGCCCACCACTGAGGCCAGATCCCTCCACACCAGACTTCCTCATGAAGCTTCTAGCAAAGTAACGTCATTGATAACTTACTGTCAATGTTTAGGTGCTCACTGGGAGTACATGTTTACAAATGGTATCAGACCTAATCATGGCACTGTTTCTGTAAGTAAATATACAGCGGGACCTCAAGGAAACCCTGCTTCTCAGTGGTGGAACCCCTATTGTGAAATCTGCTCTCTGGAGAAATTTTCCAAGTCTGGACTGTTAGCACATCATCATCATCATCATCATCATCATCATCATCATCATCATCATCATCATCATCATCATCATCATCATCATCATATTATATGTATTTTAATGCATTATTTATATCCAAATCCTATTTGGTTTGCACAACAGAAACACACAATTGCACAGCTGGTGTGTGCAATCATTCTGGCTGGCTGTTGTATGTTTGGACATATCCATATCATGCACTGGGTTACAAACTGGGAGCATGACAGATACGTGGGCAATTTCTTTCTGTTCACAAAATATTACATAACAATATTCTGGCTATTATATTTTACCGTTGCTGAAAAACGTTTCTTTTAAAGTAAGCTATTTTGGAAAATTATCTTGAAAAGGAGCATATAAATACAACTTCAGTAAACAATATTAAAATATCAGCCACGTATCATGATGATCAAAAGGCAAGGTCTGCAGCTCTTCCATTCCAGTAACTGACTCCATAACATGGGAGGCCAGTTACTGGAAGAGTGAGCCGTGCCAAGATTCTCCTTTGCTGCATCTCCCAATACTGCCACTCTTCCAGCCCTAACTAGCACAGTCAATGGGCAGCATTTCTAGACCTGTATAGCCTGTAGGAGAAGGCGGCAGTGGGAGGTGCACAGGTGTCTTCAAAAGGCAGTAGGTACATCCAGGCAAACCTTTAATGTCCAGCTAAAGACGTGCCTTTGAAACTGGTTAAAAATGTATTGGCTATGCAGAGTTCAATGTATTTGCATATTTCTTTCGCTGTGGGTAGAAGGATGAGATTCTGTGTTAGGACACACATCCTTTCCTATATAATCCTTTTCACAAATACTGGAACCAGTATCCCTAGCAAACATGTGTATTACAGCAGTGGTCCCCAACCTTGGGCCTCCAGATGTTCTTGGACTTCAACTCCCAGAAATCCTGACCAGCAGAGGTGGTGGTGAAGGCTTCTGGGAGTTGTAGTCCAAGAACATCTGGAGGCCCAAGGTTGGAGACCACTGTATTACAGGATTTATGGTCCTGGAAAATAATGTGGCAGTGGGAAAATGTGGCAACTCTAAATGAACCAAAAAAAGAGCAATTTTGAAGGAACCCATAACAATTGTGGCAACCTATATATGCCATTCTTTATGTAAAACCTATAACAAACGAATAACATTGATTGAACAAATTAAATACGTTCAGGTTTAAACACTCGGTAGCCGCAATGAATCACTCTCCCATTTTCTAGCATGTAATCCCAATGAATTAATTCTCATGCCTAACATTCCAAGCTTTGATAGAGCTATAACAGCTAAAGAAGCCTTTCTTTCTAGCCTTGAAACTGCAGTGATCACTGGCTATAGTACTCCTACACATGGTACACAGTACTCTTTGGGCTGTGTAGAAATTTGACGTGCATATAATTATTTGCTAAGGAACAGGAAGTTGCCATCTTAATTTTTTTAAACACTGGCACAAAGAGTTAACTTCTAAATTATTACGGATTTCCTGGAATAACAGTGTTTGTATGCTCTTAAAACCTTTTGGGAGTTCAGCCAGCATTGTAACAAAAATTGCCATAGCATTATGTTCACAGAACTCTACTTCTGTAATAGGATTTTTCCTTCCCATCCCTCACTGGGCTCTGTACCACACCGAAGCCTGTTGTGGGTGGCTGGACTCTGGCTAATGTGTATATATATATTTTAACCATCTTGTCAGCTGTCTTGGTCCTTGTATTGGGAGAAGAAGGGATATAACTTACACAGAATGAAATGAAGCAGAGTAATCCTTTCCATTTTAGTGATGACTTAACTGTGACTGGGACAGATAACTGCACCTTTGACATCTGCCAGAAGGCTTTGGGGAAAGATGATTTCACAAAGATCCCGAATGGTGTGAACGGTGTAGAGGACCGGATGTCAGTTATATGGGAAAAAGGAGTGGTGAGTGGGGTTTCTTTTGCTGTTAGACCTTGGAGAGACTTGGATAGCCAATTAAGTGGCAGTACAGTGGGGTCTTGACTTGAGAACTTAATCCGTATTGGAAGGCAGTTCTCAAGTCAAAAAGTCTGTAAGTCAAGTCTCCATTGACCTACAGTGCATTGAAAACCGATTAATCCCGTAACAGGCCGTTTTTGTTCCATTTTGGTTTCTTTCTGGTCTGTAAGTCAAATCTCAGTCTGCAAGTCAAACCTAAATTTTGCGGCCAGAGAAGTTTGTAACTCAAAAAGTCTGTAAGTCAAGGCATCTGTAAGTCAAGGGTCCACTGTAACAGGTTGATTATTGGGCTTTAAAGAGGCACATACATTCCCAAACACAATATGCATTCTCCATACTTTATATGACTAAAACTTTATGCTTCCAACAATATGAATGTATAAGTTATGTGACCAACTGCCCACCACTCTCTGGAACATAAACATCTGGCTACTAAAGCCACAAACACACAAGCAAGCCTCCAAACAGGCTACAGCCTCACTTTCTCATGTCTTTTTGTCTAATCTCATTGAGCAATCCCATTTGCTCAGACCCACCATCAGAAGATCCATTTAGAAAGCAAAAGGGACCCACTTAGCCATTTTATTTTCCTTGCCTGGTTTACTAGGCCTTGTCAGAATATGATAATCAGAAAGAATTAGCCATATTATGTAATATCAAGTTGCCTGAAATATATGGAGAACCCATGAATGAATGACCTCTAAAATGTCCTATCATTAGCAGCTTAGCTTAGCTGTTGCACTGAAAGCCATTACTTCCATCTGTCTCATATTTGGCCCTAGTCTTATCCTACTGCCTCCAACTTTTCCTAGCATTATTGTCTTTTCCTGTGAGTCGAGACTTCTCATGATCTGCCCAAAGTGCAACAGCTTCAATTTTGTCATTTGATTATTTTCTCTAATTTCTTCAGAGCTACCCTTCCAAGTTTCAGTACAGTGGACCCTTGACTTACAGACGGCTTGACTTACAGACTTTTTGAGTTACAGACTTCTCTGGCCGCAAAACTTAGGTTTGACTTGCAGACTGAGATTTGACTTACAGACCAGAAAAAAACCAAAATGGAACAAAAACGGGATTAATCGGTTTTCAATGCACTGTAGGTCAATGGAGACTTGACTTACAGACTTTTTGACTTGAGAACCGCCTTCCAATACGGATTAAGTTCTCAAGTCAAGACCCCACTGTATTCTTTTGATTTATTGACTGTATTCTCCATCTGAATTGATGATTGAAGCAAATTATATGTACATCTGGATAGCTATCTAGATAGTTGGTCATGGAGGGAAAAGACATTTCAAAATTGTTACACAGATCAATAAATCTAGCAATGGTTAGTAGTCCTGATGGTGTGTATCCAGAACCACAGTAGTATGCCTCTGAATATCAGTTGGAGGGGAATATGTGTGGACACTGCTGATGCATTTATGTTCTGCTTAAGTACTTTCCATGGGCATCTGTGCAAAACAAATGCTGATATAAACAGACTGCTGTATTAGCCTTACATTCTTACATCCTTATTCCTTTGATGCTTTGCTTTCTTTGGCACATTGTTAAAAGTTGCATATTTTGTCATCAAAAATATTCTGTGCAGCCAATTTCTGGGTTAGAATTAAGTGGAATGTGTCTATGTGCATGTGTGTATGTATGTATGTGTGTGTGCGTGTTTGCCAATTGGTTTGCTTGCAGCAAACCTGTGTGTTTCCTTCCTTATTAATACACATTCTTGGCTTTCCTTACATTGTTTTGCAGCATAGCGGCAAAATGGATGAAAATAGATATGTAGCAGTTACCAGCACAAATGCTGCTAAAATCTTTAACCTGTACCCAAGAAAGGGGAGAATAGCAGTGGGCTCTGATGCTGACATTGTCATTTGGGATCCCAAAGCTACAAGGTATGTATGGCCTGAGTAATCACAACCCATTGGTCTATCCTATTTCTTGGCAAAGTAAAAGAATGGAATTTTTTTTACATATAAATCCTGAACGATGGGATGACATCCTGCTGTATTATTCACAGGATATTTGGTCTTAGCCACAGCATATCTATGCAAAGAGCTTTGTCTGGTCAGAACATTTTTTTAAAAAAACGATTTGGACTGCTGACCACATAGGAAAACAACAACGCTTGTACTTTCACACTAATTGCTATTTTCCTGTAGATGGGGAGTGATTAAAAATATCCCCCCAGGCAATTATGGACTATCTTATGCTTATGCCTAAAAATATCTAAATGGTTCACCCAGGCATCACATATTTTGCTGAGAATACATTAGCAATCAGCCATGCTGTAGGTAGTCATTCCTAGGCTAAGGGAAAAGACCAGCTGTGTACCACTCCAGAACCAGCCTAGGGATGATTTGAGAATGGTTGTCAATACTTAAAGTGGTTCTTACTGGAATCTGGAGTTTCTTCTACTCAGATTCTTCCTGCTTAGAAAGGTTTGTGCAAAAAGTGAGGGTCACAGAATCCGTGCTTTGCACATGGAAGGTCCCAGGTTCTGTCTGTCTAGCTAGTCTCCAGTTAGACTCTTATATATAAGAACCTCTGTCAATCATGGTAGCCAGTGTGGAGTTAAGTTGACCAGTGTTCTGCAAGTTCAGAAAAGCAAGTTCTGAACTTGCAGACTTTCAGAGCACTTGTCTCCATATCGTTCCATCCCAAACAGTATATGATGGAAGAATATGCTGTACTTATCAGGCTGTGTGCAGAGACTATGTGGTACCATTCTGCCTGGCCTGTTGCTCTCACTAAACCTCTGGGAAAGATGACATTTGCCTTTTTGTGTTCTGTCTGAGAAACATAGCTACTAGGGAGTAAGCCTTGTGGAACTCAATGGGTCTTCCTTCTGAGTAGATATGTAGACCACAGTATTAATAATTCCCTACATGAACAAGCACCAAATGTAGTGTTATTAACAACTTTGAATAAAAATGTGTACCCCGTCCTCATTTCAGTTGAGCAAATCTGCCTACATATACTATATTTCACATAACTGATTTTGATTGTGATGTCTGAAGTTTGAGGACTTTTGAGATGTTTGGGAGACATTGTGCATCAAAAGTAACCAACTTTATATTGTTCCTGAGCAGATCTTACCTCTCCCCTCTTTGCCTGGCTCATTAAACTAGAAGAAACACACTTCAAGGAAGGATGAGCCAGCATACGGACCTCAGTATCTCCTACAAATAGACATTATCAAATACTGCTGCTATTGCTTTCCAGAGGCTTGGTCTCCTCTGAATTTGCTTATGATTACAGAGATTCATCTCTCCTTCTGGGAGTCGGGTTCATTGAATAAGACTTCCATTTTGTCCTCATTTCTTAAATAAACTCAATAATTGATGGGAGAAGGGCAACTCTAAGCCTCTATCCAGCCCTTCTATCTACTATGTTGACTTAATAACTTCAGATTCAGTATAACAGAAATGATGAGCAACTTGGGAACTTCTATTTCTAATGGTTTGTTTGTGTATTTTAAAAATATATATATTTTAAAGCCAGCCTTCATGGATAGTAGCATAGTGTGCTAGCAGATGTTCAAATTCACAATATAATATAAAATAAAAACAATAAAGCATAATATCAAACCCCATAAAAGTGCAATAAACACATAAAATATGGAGATTAGATGAACAAGTTAAAATGCCTGTACAAACAGGGAAGCTTTGAGTCACCATGAAAAAGATTGGGATGCCAACTAGTTTGACCTTCCTCTTTACCAGGAGAGCGAGCACATGGCTTAAAAGAAGCATTTAAAAGCCGACTGATAGCTTTCAGCTGCGTGGAATATTATCTGATGATTATTTGCTGGTATCTTTTCCTCAACAGGCTCCATGGCAGCTATCACTTGGTACTGCAGAAATCAAGTGATAAATACTACTTTATGCAAAGTTACAGACAAAGAAGTAGTTTGCACATTTGAAAGAAAAACATTCAGCATCAATATGTGTTGGCATTTAGTTCTGCACTCCAAGATGCAGTAGGTTCTTGCAGGATCTAAATGCAAGAAATGATGGTTGTCCGGATGATGTTGGTACATGACTGGGGAGAATTAAGGGACTTCCGTTGGAAACCTGACGAGAAGCTTTAGACATTCTTATGAAAAAGGGTCTAGGAATATTGTGACACTAGAAGGGGAAAACATCAAGTGCTATATACAATAGAATACACAAGGCATTCAGAGCTGTCATAACCTAATAACAAACTCAGAGTACCCCCTACTGTGGAGGATGAGTGGAAAACTCCATCTATATGGCACACACCCCCAAACAGGTTGAACCCAGCTCTGAGCCTCACCTAAATAATATGCCTGGCAGACTTCTGCCATGACAATTTTTGGGTCATTATTTTTTTTCCTGCACTGTGACTGAGAGAGTAAACTTATTCACAAAAGCATACACTGAACGTTTAATTTTTAATGGTCTAAATATAATGATCATCTCTTCTACATTTAGATTATGTACAAGTAGATTATGTGAAGGTACACATTCCAGGAGTTACAGTCCAAAAAGTAGTTTTTCCAGTTTTCTGTGATCTAGATACTGTATAGAAAAGCAGCTATAGGACTATCTTCTGAATATTTATTGTCTGACTTGTGCTGCAACCACTGAAATCATGCTGTAAATTAACTAACGCCTTTATGTAAAATAAATGTCTGTGGAATTGACAGTGCAGGACTAGACTCAGAAATAACAACTGCTGGCTTTAGTGGGACTCATCCATGGTTGTGAGAGATATTGCTATCTAAACAGAGGTAAAGAATGGCTGGATAGTTCAGTGGTTTTGGTATCTGGCAGTGAAGTCAGAGGTAGGAAATTTGATTCTCCATTGTACCTCCTTGACAGAGGCTGGAGTTGATGATCTGCAGTGTCTCTTCTAGCTTTGCAGTTTTAAGATTAATTAAACTATCTTTGATGCATTTCGGGTCTCAGTGTTCATGTGAGGGTGTGATTACATTGGCAAGTTGAATCAAAGCAATTCAGGTTTGTGCTGCAACTTGATTTGCAGCCCCTTTTATGATTTTAGAAGAGGTAACCATATTAGTCTGTGCTGGTCTATCAAGCAAACATAAAAGAAAAAGAAAAAAAAATAAATACATGTTGTGACACCTTAAAGACTAAAGACTTAAAGACTAACTGCAATATTTTAATGTGAGCTTTCATGGGTAAGTCCACTTCCTCTGACTACAGCAAGACTAAAGACCTTAAAGACTAACTGCAATATTTTAATGTGAGCTTTCATGGATAAGTCCACTTCCTCTGACTACAGCGGTTGTATTTGGTTTAGTTGATCACACAAAGTCTCCAATTGTTCTGGTGTCAATGTCCACTATAGACACTATGTCCACAATGCCCACTATGGCTCTCAATTCAATGTGATTTGATATGTGCCCACAGCCCCTCTTCCCTTGATATGGCCCACTTGGCAATCCCTGGCTTTTCTTTCTTATTATTTTTTATTTGCAGTGATCATTTAGCACTAAACTAATGCATCAATGAAGTGATAACGTGATCTAACACTAAACATGTGCCCACAGCCCCTCTTCCCTTGATATAGCCCACTTGGCAATCCCTGGTTTTTCTTTCTTCTTATTTTTTATTTGCAGTGATGATCTAGCACTAAACTAATGCATCAATGAACTATTCTGACAGATTTTTTTTACAAAATGCATTTGAAGAGAGATTGTAGCAAGTCAGTTTTAAAACGAATGAGTGGAACAGAAAAGTGATCTAACACTAAATGCAGTCACAAACAACCACACAGAAAAAAATACCAAATCATGCAGCTTTTAAAAAGTAGAAGCCCCCCAGCAGCAAGGGGGGGGACTCTGAATCAGACGCAAAAATGGTCAGGTTGATTCACATTGACCTTTGCACTGTGTGGTCATTGAAAAATATTTCAAATTTATCTGTTCTAACTGCAGACCAAATCCAGAAGTATTTGTCAATGTACTCACAGCTTAAGATGTGTTCATGTTATAATGCGGATGTAGAAATACAACTTGCTGAATAATAGTTAATGATATATTTGGACTATTCTGACAGATTTTTTTTACAAAATGCATTTGAAGAGAGATTGTAGCAAGTCAGTTTTAAAACGAATGAGTGGAACAGAAATGCCTTTTTTCTCTGTCAATTCAGGAAATGCTTCTACTAAAATATTCATTGAATTGCACTTAGACATCAAAAGACTCTTCATGTTGTGTATTTATGAACTGCAGAACAGCTTTTTTACATGACACATTAAATATATCACCTGTTTAGAGAAGATCTGGGAGAAGAGGAATGTGTTGAAGGTGTGAGTTGTCTAGTTCACTTTTAAACACACACAAAAACCCATTGTGGCATTTCTTGTATAATGTATTCTTGAAGGCTTTCACGGCCAGGATCTGATGGTTGTTGTGGGCTTTTTCGGCTCTTTTGCCATTTTCTGAAGGTTGCTCTTCCTAATGTTTCGCCAGTCTATGTGACCAGCATCTTCAGAACTCTGTGCAATGGTGCAGGGTGTTTTTTTTGTTTTGTTTTTGTTTTTTTGATAGTTGAGTATTTATAGCTGTGGGATCAGCTTTTGTCCTTTCTAGGAGATGGGTGATTGTGGTGATCAGCATGTTTTTTGTTGTTGGTGTATTGTGATAAGAGGGAGAGATTGTCTGTCACTGTGATTGGTAGGTGTCGTTAGTTGGTCTTTTGTGTGCAGTGATCACCGATCCTTGTATCTGGGTAGAGTTTGTTGACCTTTTGCAGGCTGTGTTTTGAAGATTCATTCTAAATCAGAGATGACGTAACAAGTCACAGACATAAGAGGAAACTAAGAGAAGGACTGTGGATCATGGCTCCCAGCACTGAAAAATATAGCTTTTCTTTTTTGAAAAAAATTCCATTCAATGTATTTA